AAAAATAGAGCTACCATATGATCTAGCAATTCCACTTCTGAGTATTTATCTGAAGGAAACAAAACCATCATCACAAAAGCGTATCTGCACCCCCATGTTCACTGTAGCAGTACTTACATAGAAATGAAATAAATATCCATCTACAGGTGAAGGATAAAGACAATGTGATATGTATATGTCATTTATATATACAGGGAGATAAACATATAGGTTTAATGGAATATTATTCACCATAAAAAAGAAGGAAATCCTTCCACTTCTTATAACATGGGTAGACCTTGAGGTCATTATGCCAAATGAAATAAGTCAGACAGAGAAAGACAACTACTGGATGGTCTCACTTATATGTGGATTTGAGAACAAAATCAAAAACCAAAATCAAACTCAAAGAAACAAAATAGATTTGTGGTTGCCAGAGGCAGGGGATAGCCCTACCAAAATTGGTAAAGGGGGTCAAAAGCTACAAACTTCAAGTTATAGGATGTAATGTACAGCATGGGGACTACGGTTAACAATACTTTACTGTAAATTTGAAAGTTGCTAAGAGAGTAGATCTTAAAAGTTCTCATCCCAAAAAAATATAATTATGTGTGGTGACGGATGTTAACTAATTGTGGTGATCATTTCACATTGTCTACAAAGATCAAATCATTATGTTCTATACATAAAACTCATACAATGTTATGTGTCAACTATATCTCAATTTTAAAAGATAATATATTTTTATATTTATACACTATATGGACAGAGACATAACAGTTGTTAGCAGGGGTTGAGGGAGCGACTGGAAAGGAGAAGCATGGGAGACTTTTGAGGAGCAATGAAACTGTTTTGTATCTTTATTGTGGTGGTGATTACGCAACTCAACGTATTTGTCAAAATTCATGGAACTACACACCAAAGAGAATCGATCTTTCTCCATGTCAATTTAAAATATGCTGAGTGAAATAAGTCAATTGGAGAAGGACAAACATTATATGGTCTCATTCATTTAGGGAGTATAAAAAATAGTGAAAGAGAATAAAGGGGAAAGGAGAAAAAAATGAGTGGGAAATATCAGAAAGGGAGACAGAACATGAAAGTCTCCTAACTCTGGGAAACAAACTAGGGGTGGTGGAAGGGGAGGTGGATGGGGGGTGGGGGTGACTGGGTGACGGGCACTGAGGTGAGCACTTGATGGGATGAGCACTGGGTGTTATTCTTTATGTTGGCAAATTGAACACCAATAAAAAATAAATTTATAAAAATAAATAAAATAAGGAAACTGAATGGGAAAAAAAATCAGAGAGGAAGACAAACCATGAGAGACTCTTAACTCTGGACAACAAACTGAAGATTGCTGACGGGGAGGTGGGTGGGAGGGATGGGATAACTAGCTGACCGGCATTACGGAGGGCACGTGATGTGATGAGCCCTAGGTGTTATGTGCAACTGATGAATTATTGAAAACTACATCTGAAACTAATGATGTAGGATATGTTGACAAATTGAATTTAAATTTAAAAAATAAAGCAATATGGTTAAACAGAGCTACTGGAGCTGGGCCTCTGTGAGCCGCAGGTTCCTTCATCAGGTGGATTTCACTGTGCCAGTTGGGGACCCTCAAAGGAGACAAGAGGGCATGAAGAAAAAGAAACTTGCTCCTTCCTATTTTGATTTCTGTCTGTCAGCATCGCCCACAGAGTCTCTTTACTCAGGCAGGGAAGTTGTTTCCAGTCTTGTTTTGTTTTCCCACACTCCTTAGTAGCTTTGCCACACCCCTTCAAAGATCCCGTATGTATACAATGGAATATTACTCAGCCATTAGAAATGACAAATACCCACCGTTTGCTTCAACGTGGATGGAACTGGAGGGTATTATGCTGAGTGAAATGAGTCAATCGGAGAAGGACAAACAGTGTATGTTCTCATTCATTTGGGGAATATGAATAATAGTGAAAGGGAATAGAAGGGAAGGGAGAAGAAATTGGTAGGAAATATCAGAAAGGGAGACAGAACATAAAGACTCCTAACTCTGGGAAATGAACTAGGGGTGGTGGAAGGGGAGGAGAGAGGGGGGTGGGGGTGAATGGGTGACAGGCACTGAGGGGGGCACTTGACGGGATGAGCACTGGGTGTTATTCTGTATGTTGGCAAATTGAACACCAATAAAAAATAAATTTATTATTAAAAAAAAAGAAAGAAAAATATCCCGCATGAGCCCGCCTCCCTTCTCAGGAACCTGAGTATCCTGCCCCAAGGTACTAGATGCTCAGCGCCCCACCTTTCTCTTTGTGCCCCCCTGCCCCACCCTGAGGAAGGCAGCTGCTTCCTTCACTTCCTATCAACGCACAAACTCTAGTTCTTTTTCGTCCTTTCAGAACTCTATGACCTGCTTCGTCAAATTCTTAAATTATTCTTTCTGTTGAATGTGACTGATGTGGCTTCTGTTTTACTGACCAGAAGCTGATAGGAAGCCAACGTCCTTCCTATGCTCTACAAGATCCTATGTGATCTGCCCTCCTCATTACTTCTCTGACCTGGCCTCCAACTTCTGTTTCTTCTCACTCACTGATTCATAAGAAATAAAGCAGATAAAGGAGCATGTTAAACCTCACCACAGAAACGTAGTCATCAAAGTTCAAAGTGTGGAAAGCTCCTTTGGATAAATAACTTAGTTTCTCCAACGAATAAATTGAGACAGGGAAAAAAGAACAATGGAGTGGCAAGCTCCATATTGGAAGGGCCTTAAGAACATATAAACTAGTGAAACAAAAAACATTATAAACTAGCAGTAATGTGAAGACCTAACTTGAGCTCAGGTTTTATATATATATATATCTATATATATATATATATATATATATATATATATAGTTTGTATTATATATATTTATATTATTATCCATATAATATATAAAAATAGATAACATATATTTATATTATTAATATAATATGCATACTTTATATATTTATATATAATTTATTAAAATAATGGAGGAATTTAACCATGACAGGATATGAGATATAGGAATTAAGAAATTACTTTTAGTTGTTAAATGGGACTGTGCTTATGTTTAAAAAGTCCTTCCCATATATGGGGAAGTACTTATGGATACATTGATGTCATAATACATGTGGGGGGTGTAATAGATGGGGCATAGGTGAAACAACATTGACTATGACTATGAAAGAATCATCGTTGAAGCCAAGTGTTTTAGTCTATTGGAACTGCTATAACAAAATGCCGCAGACTGGGTGGCTTATAAACAACAAATGTTTATATATATATACCAAATAAACAAATGTTTATTTCTCGGTTCAGGAGGCCATGAAATCCAAGATCAAGGCACCCACAGATTCTGTGTCTGGTGGGGGCCCCTTTCCTCACTCAGAGCAGTCTTCTGGCTGTGACCTCGCATGGCAAAAGGATCAAGGGAATTCTCTCCACCATCATTTATGAGATCACTGATCCCCTTCACAAAGGGACGATCCTTATAACCTAATCATCTCCCCAATGCCCCACCTCCCAAGACTATCCCTCTGGGGGTTAGGTTTCGATATACAGTTTTGGGGGGAGGATGGGGACACAAACTTTCAATCTCTAGCACCAAGTAATGGGGCAGAAAGGATCCATTTTACTACATAAAGCCCAGGTTGTTTGAATGTTTTAACATTTTCCATTTGTCTTTAAAGTCTGAGGGTCCACCACGTGAGGCAGTTAGGTCAAAGAATGGCTCACGGGTCTCTGGAACACATCTGAAACCACTGTTGAGAAGCATATAGTGCAGTGGTTTCACCTGTAGGCTCTGGAAACCACCACCTGAATCTGTCACTATCCATCTATGTGACCTTGGACTTGACTTCTTCAGGCCTGTTTCCTCAGAAACGAAGTGGAAATAGTAATGGGATCTCCTTCACAGAGTTGTCACACAGACTAAGTGAATTAATAGATATAAAGCACTGTCTTAGAACATCATCTGGACCATTTTGAGGAAGTTCTCAAAAAATGTCAACTATTACTGTGATTTTTACTACACAGGGAAACGAAATGAACCACCAGGGTCTCAAAACACGTATATCCAAAATATGTTTTTAATCTTGATGAAGTTCACAAATGGTACAATATTGATATTTCCTTAAATTATACAATTATGTTCTTAGACAACCAGGCAAAGCATTACCATTACCATGTATTCCCAGAGGCCACAAAGACAATGATTTATTGTCCCTCCTAAGGTTGAGCAGAGCTGCCATGATCAATAGGATAACTCTCAAAGAACCAGTTTGCTACCAGATAAGCCAATAATAGATGCCATCACACTGACCGCACACAGAATCAAATATAAAAAGAATACATAACATGTATGGGATTAGCTTATTTTGCATTCAGTTTCATTCCTTCCAAATGACAAAGCTGCTTTTTTTTCAGTATCTATTGGGATGCAAACATGTATATCTTCCATGGGGCCTTCTCACCAAGTGTTGTCAACAGAAATTAATAGAAGTGGTGAGTTCAGCTTCATGGTTACCTGAGATGGGAAAAAATAAAATAAAATAAAAAAGAAGAGGAAGAAGGAGGAGGAAGTGGAGAAGGAGAAGAAAGAAAAATAGAATAAGAAAGACAAGAAGGAAATAATCACAATTATTACTAAAAAGAACACAAATCTACAGGGGTGCTTCTTTCACAGCATATACAAATTGTGGGTCTGAGATGTAAATAAGCTTTAAGGCAAATGATGAGAAAAAAGCAATTATCAATCAGCAAGCATATTTTTTTTTCATTTCTCTTCTCAGAAAGATGACACTGCCTGTCTGCAGCCTATCCTAGTGCTCTGATTTCAGGCTGACTTATAGAAGAAACTCACTACTCAGAAGGAAGGATGTAATGGGAAAGAAGGGATCTGAAGACCCTACCAGGTCCAATGGGTTTCCAAATGTGGATCCTAACCTCCAAATTCTTTCCCCTCCCATCTGACAGTGTAAGGACAGTCACCTACTTTCCGGAGTCATGTCACTGCTCAGGCACGAAGGTCTCTGCGGCGCCGGCCAAAGGCTTCGGAACCCACGTTGGTGGGCACGAAGTTGTTCTTCACCACACCCCCAGATCTGCTCAGCAAGCCTGCCAGCCGATGGGTCACACAGGTGGCAGTGTTGCAGGATCTCTTCTGGGCAGTGATGCTGATTTGTAGGATGGAGGAAGAAGACAAGGCCTGTCAGTGAGAGGCTAGGGGCAGGCACCCGCCCCATGAGGCCTTCGTAAAAAGAATTTCAGCTCTTCGACATATCACTTAAGAATAAGTGTTTCTCCTAAGTGCAATTATCGAAGCTGTTAGGAGAAATGGCCTGGCAGCTTTTGCTAGGAGCCCTGCCCAAAGACCTTTCTTCGCAAAAGAAACCCAGTGCCAATTGTACGGAAGCGTTGAATCACTGTACTGTACACATGAGACTAACGTTACACTGTACGTCAACTAACTGGAATTTAAATAAAAGCTTTAAAATAAGAAAAAGAAACAACCCAGTGCTAAGCTAAAGACTCCAGTACTCACGTGGTGACACCTGCACTTGCTATCACTTACATACAGTCCTTTTAGAACCATAAGAAGTGGTCACCAAAGGCCCAGCCCTACCCCAAGACATGCAGGGAGCATACAGAAGCCGTACAGCAGCCACAGACACCAACAAACCACTTTCCATGGGACAGTGAAAATTCCCTGAAGTCTTACCTGGAGAGGCTCAGAGAGCAGGGATGCAGCATCCTCCCCCAGAAGTGTTACCTGCTCCTCAGCACACCTGTCCTGGATGGTGGAGCTGCTTCACAGGGACCACTCACCAACGCCCGTATCCGGCTACCCTGAGGCTAAAGCTACTTTTAAACATGGGTTCTAGGCACTCTCAAGCCTTGGACGGGGACCAGAGTAACGACCACCACAGGGCAAATCCTTTTAGAAAATAGATTTATTCATCGGTGATGAAGCATGAGGAATGAAGCAGAAATTGGAGGACTCTACCTCGAAATCCTCTGGAATCTCAAGAGGCTTCCCTCACTCTTACCTCTAGCCTGGTCTATGAGTGCCGCTCACTTCCCTTCCATCCTGAGATCCCCAATATTCTCTCTCGCAAGCAAAGCTACCAATGCCAGCTGGAAGAGCAATCCAAGTGAAATCTGCATGCGTTAAATTCATCAATGGGAGCAAGAAGGGAAATCAGGAAGGAGTGGAAGGAGATCAGTTGGCATCCTGGGGCACCCCAAAGCGAGGTTAGCGGCCCCTCTCCAAGCTGCTGGCTATGTCCCTTTTCTTGCCAGGTGTTTCAGCCCCGAAGCCGATGCCAGAGAATGTATGAAAGTTGTTCAGGTCCTTCGAGTATGTGCCCAGCACACAGGTACTCAGATTACTGCACCGCTTAGCTCTGGAGCTGTCCAGGCTGCAGGGAAAATACATGCCAGACAATACCATGCCCCGGGTCTGCCCCTGAGGGCAGTCGTGCAGCGAGGTAGACCAGGGGAGGGGCCCTGTGAGCAGAGGCAGGAGGGGCAGGCAGGAGCGCAGCTCACACATCCTCCATGAGCCAGGGCAGTGTGGGGAAGGGCTGTGGTCGGGGAGGGGCGGCCTTTTCTAGCGTTCCACATGCCACTCATGCTCTGCAGTGAGATTCTCGGGGTAGCTACGTGTGCATCACACGCCTCTGGCCCGGCAGTGCCAGGGCCAGGCCAGGGCAGTGTCAGGGCCAGTGCCAGGGCTGTGCCTCAAGCTCCAGGGACCCTGGAGGTGAGGCTGGGCAAGGGTCTGGCCCTGGGACAGCATGCGCATCTCCACAGATCCTCCAGGTCTAAAGACCCCAGACCTACCTCAGACACTGCTCTACCTAACCCCACCCTCTGCACGGCCTTTGGCTTCACCTTGCACATGTGCAATGAAGACTCCTTGTGGGTGTGAAAGAACAACACACACAGGTTACATTTCTAAAACACTCTGAGATACACCGAGTGTGTCTCTTGGCTTTACACTTACCAGCCCCAAGTCAGCCAATGCTGGAACTTCTCCTCAGTAGGGCCAGACCCATTCCCTGAGTGCGGGACTCTATACCTCCCATTCTATTTCCTAACAACTTCCAGGAGTGGATCTTTTTAATGCGTCTGACCACGGTCTCTTCAGCTACACCTGGACCTCCGTCTTCCATGGAGCCTGAGAATGGCTGGGCCCCAGAGCCTGGTGAACCACCACAGCCTGCTGCACTCCTGGCCAGATGTTGTATTTCCTACCTCTCTGGGATACCTCCTTCTGGACCCTGCGGAGTAGAGTTGGGGGCCTTACCTGGAGCCCTCAGTCTCCTGCTCCTGCTCCTGCTCCAGTTCGTTCTTCCTCTGCACGTAGGCCTTCACCAGGGCAGCCAGCAGGAGGCGCCCTTCCTTCTCACTGAGTGCAGTGGGGTCTGGGAGGCCCTCCAGAGCGGACCTGGGGAGGGGAAGCAAACCCCATGGAGGCTCTGAGCCCCAGCCTGCCTCCTCCCCAGAATAAGTAGCAAGGCTTCCTGGCCCCAGTGACTTTCCCTGAGGATGCGTCCCCCACCTCCACTCCCAGTCCGCAGGGCTGAATTCAACGTCCACCCAAGGGTCTTAATTCACCAGCAGCCTGTCTGCCGGGACTTCAGCGGCGCAGACGGGCCTGGGCCCAGGGCCAGTAGAAGGGGAATGCTCTGGGGCTTCAGGCTGTCTCACCTGAATGGTGCCGCCTGGAGGACGCCCGCCTGGCACAGGACCAAGATGATGAAAGCCAGGAAGGGGGAGGACTTCCACAAGCCCATGATGCCTCTCTGTAAGGAGAGAATGACATTACCGCTGCACGGAGACCGAGCAAGGCCTGGAGCCCCCAGACCTAGGCTCCTATCCTGCCTATCCACAGTGGCCCTGTGGCCTCGGGCAGGTTACCCGACCTCCCCAAGCCTCCATTCATCTGCCAGGGAGGCTGCTGTGAATCTCAAAAGATATCGTGCAGTGAAGGGCTTGGTAGAGCCGAAGCAAGAGTCCTGGGGTGCAGCGGAGCTCTGTGTTAAGTCGGGGGGAAGCCGAGTGCAGGCACACGAACGCACACCTCTTGCCTAACGCAGAGACCACGCCGGGACCCACCCCCTTATACGTCTGTTCTCCCACCGCGCCTGTCGGAGATCTGCACCACTTTCCTTCCCCTCGGCGGGACTTCCCACTAACAGGTGGGAGAGGAAAGTGGGAAGGGGAAGGCTGCCTTGGAAAGGAGCCCTGATCTCTCAATACGTGGGTTTGGGGGAAACGTTGACGTGCCCGCTACTGGGGCCTCTGGGCTCTGCGTGCCCAGCCCGCCGATGCTGGAGCGCAGGTTAGCCGCAGCTGCTGATCTCCGGCATCCAGAGGTGGGCCTGGTCCTGCTCGGCCGGCTGCACCGCCCCCAGGACCCCACCCCGGGGTGTCCCAGGGTCGCTGGCGGGCTGGCGGCGCCTCCTAGGAAGGCCCGAGGCTCCCCAATCGGGAGACTCGATGGGATCCCTCAGGACGCAGATGGCACAGGACCCCCAGACCAGAGTGAGGCTGCATCCTGCACGCCACGCCCGGGGGCACCGACACCGGGCGCGGCCTGCCTACCTCCGCCCGCGGAGCTTCCTGCGCCCTGCGGGAGCCCTGGGATACTCGGGGTTCCACCTGCACTGAGTAGAAGACGGCGCTCGGGCCGTCCCGAGCGCCCTCCGCGCCCTGAGCCGCACGGAGCACCTGGAGCACCTGCCCAGACTTGGGCCGCCAAGGAAGGGCCTCGGACGCAAAGGAAAGGCAGCCGGCCGGGCGGAGTGGGTGACCTAACCCAGAGGCGAGTTATCAGGGGGCGCAGAGCGGGAAGTTCCTCACCTGAGACGGGAGTTTCTGGAGAGCGCCAGCGGCCGTCAGCCCGGGTGGACACGACGCCTGCTGCGGGCGTCTTCCCCGCGGAGCTCCGGGCTCTTATTCCGGCGATAGCGGGAGGGGGGTCCCCACGAGCCGGCGCGGCCAATCCAAAGTGGCCAGGACCGACCCAGCTCCAATTGCGTCATTGCTAGCACTCCCGGCACTGGTTCTCCAGGGAGGGGAACCATCCGCTCCGGCTGCCTTTTGCAATGAGGTCATTGCTGGGAGAGCGCGAGGGCAGGGAGGGGCGGAGAGCTCTCGACGCCGTCCCGAGAGCGGGGGCCACGCGGGGACTTTGGCATCCCCTACGGTGAGGAGCCAGAGCTCCTCTCGCTCTCTGGGTGCCTGAACTCCCGCGTCGAAGCTCGTCCCACTGCCCGTGAGGACGCCGGGCTGGGCCCCTGCACCGCCGCGAGTTCGAAAAAGGCGTCTCACCCGGGAAAGCGCCACAGCGAAGGAGCTGGAGGGGCGGCGGGGCGGGGGGACCCGAAAGGTTGATCTGTGCAACCACCTGGTGCACTCCTGAGATATCCCCTGCTCCCCCGTGCTCCCTGCCCCCACCCCTCACCCCGCCTTGGCACCCTGTGCCACGCAAAGGTGTTTTGCTTCTAGTCTGGGGAGCCAAGCCTCCTTGGCCTCTGGGGCAGGGGGAGTGGGAGGGGGGCTGGGGAAGGCGCTGAGCCGGCGCGAGGCCTTTCCGTCGTGCCCCCGAGACCTCGACTGGGGCTCCGCAGCCCCCACGATGAGCCAGGCCCCTCCCTGCAGCGCGGGCTCGGTTTACACAGCTGTCCCGTGCGTGCGTCGGGCTTGTTTGCCAAGGCTGGGAGCGCCCGCGCTCGGATTTCTACCTGTGCGCCCCGCGGCCCGGCCCGCTCCCCCGACGGGCTCCCCTGCGCGGCCGCACGACCGAGGGACTTGCACGCGCCCCTCTCCCGGCTGCGGGCGGCCCGCGGGGCACCGCGGCGCGCACACGTCTGGACCCCAGGCCTGGGCTGCGGAGCCCGCGCTTTGCCGCAACTCACGCGCCTCCACGCGCGGTTCGCCAAGGAGCGCGCGCGGGCAACGACCCCAACCGCCCTCGCCCCAAATCCGAGGGCAACCCTGCGAGTGTCCGCTCTAGGGCACGGCGCGGGAGCACACGCAGGGGTGCACATTGTTCCCCAAGCGCGGGCGCACGCACCAGCCTGCCGTGGTCGAAGGAGAGCCGGGTTCTCGGAGTCCGCGCGGCGGGGGAGGGCTCGCGGGCGCTCGCCCAGGGCCAGGAGGGGGCTGCCGGGTGGGGGCGGAGGAAGAGGTGAAGACGTTTACCTGCCCCACCGGCGGCCTTCCTTGGGGTGAGGCTGCGCCCCCAAACGCGCCCTGCGGCCCCCCGACCTCGGGCGGACTAATCGCCTCGCGCCGGGGTGCAGGGCCGAGGGCTGAGCCGGGGGCTCGCGGATCCCACGGCTGCTTACCGCGTCCGCAGCCCCGAAGGGCGCTCAGGGGCTGCCTGCGGGGCCCTCCCTCCGGGTCGTGTTTTCAATTGCACCTGGACGGTTGAAACTTCAGGCAACACCCCCCAAAGAACCCTGACCGTCTTGCCGGCCTGCCTGCTACCCTGGCAGGCAGAGCGCACAGTGGCTACAGAAGCCAGAGTTGCCCCAAACTCCGGGCCGCTGCGCGGCACCTGCAAAGTAGCCCAGGGCTCCAGCGGACTGGGCAGGGCAGGGTCCTTCCTCCCAAAGCCCTGCAAATACAAGCGACTTTTGTGACCCTCTTCTCGCATCCTGGCAGGAGTGGAAAGGCCCAGCTGGGAGGCACCACCGGACTAGCGACTCTGCCGTCTAAACTGCCTGTTCCCGGTCCACTGCCGCTGTCTCTGAGTTCTGGCAAACTGGAGTGTAGCCTGCTCCAGCAGCTCAGGGTTGCTCCATTCTCCCCGGAGCACTGGGGACCGAGGGGAGGAAGGAAGGGCGGAAAAGAAGATCCGGAAGGCCCCAGACCCTAGAGTCCCAAGCCGCCTAGCCTTGACCAAGTTGGTGGCGCGCTGAGCCTGGGAGGGAGGCAGGTGGGGAGCGTTGGAGAAGTCAGCTTGGGGTCTGGCCTCCCAGAAGGCCCACAAAGATCATTTTGGGGGAGACTTTGAATCCTTGGAGTTGATGACTGCAGAGGGCAAGGACTTTTTCTAAAGTGTTGGGACCAGCTGTGCTGCCATCAAACAGCAGCATCCCCAGCTGTGCCCTCTGCTCCCGACGCGAGGGCGCGATGGGTTGCCCAGGAAGAGAGGCCACCCTGGGTGAAGTCTGCGGAAGCTCCCCCTCAAGGCCTCTGAGCCTCAGCTCCCTGTACTCTGTCAAGCAAGAATGTGCACCCCACCCACAGGCAGATTTTAACACCAAAAATACCTGGATCCGGGCTTTGAATGTCTCCTTGCGTGCTCCAATGGGACCAGCTGTTGTAGCTGTAAGCCCCCAGAATTATTTGGCAGGGTCCTCTTCCTCCTGTCTTCGCACAGTGGCTGGCCCACAGTAGGTGTGCAGCAAATGTTCAGTGGAAGGGCAGATAGCCAGAGGATGAATGAGTGAAGAATTCCATGGGTTCTTTACAGTCAGAGTCAGCAGTAAATTCGCAGCCAAGTTGAACTAAATAGACCCAATTTAGATCCATTAGATTGCAAAACCGATCCCTGATCCAAAGATGCACCTCTTTATTGAATAGAAGGAAACAGTGTCCTGGTGAAAACTTTCTGGAATCTAATGTGAGAGGAAGTACTGAGGACTTCTCTTCCGAAGTACACTGGCTGGAAAAGCAGTTTTCCTCACTCCATCCTTGTATTAGTGAGTGAATGGAAGAAAAAGTCAATACAATAACTTGCTTTCTAAATTGAGAAAATTACATTTTGATTTCCCTGGAACTGTTCTGAGCTCCGAGGCATCCCCAATCAACTAGCTAGCATGAAGATTTACAAAGAATAGTTTCCCAGGAATATCTTGTGCTTTTAAATCATCTCAAGTATTTTGATGCTCAGCTTAACTATTTTATGTAATTATTTAACTTTTGAAGCTGCCCAGTCTTAAACAATTTTAGAGGGAAAGAGATCCTATGTACTAAACTTTTTGAAGCTTATTTTTATTTACTTTAACTTACTCTCTGTTTTCTTTATAAATTTCCTAGGAGAAATATTCCTTAGGGGAAAGTTTCATTCATGCAACAAATATTTATCTGAGGACCTACTACGTGCCAGAAATCCATTTTGGCACTAGCAATTCATGGTGAACAAAGCAAAAACCCCTGCCCTCCTGATGCTTGTATTAAAATGATGTATTTAACAGAAATCTTTGTATATTACCCTTTACCCAAATAAAACACATCCCTACCCTACTCACATCCTCTCAGTGTGGTAATGCCATATATTTGTTTGTCAGAAGAATATTCAGAGCTTCTATTATCAAACCATGTAAATATTATTTATATCCAGCTGAGCTACATAGTGTACTTTGATTACATTTCCTTGTTCATTTGTTTTACGTCTAATAATTCCCTCACTTTTCATTTGTCTTTTTTCTGCCCATCCTTGTTGATTCCTTTTCCTCAATCCTATTTGTTCCTCATTCTTGGTTTCTTCTCTCACTTTGGTGGAGCACATTCACCATTGTATGATAGATAGATTTTCTGGAAACGGAATTTGAGGTTGGGAATTATTTTCACTCCGATTTTGAAAATATTCTCCATTGCTTTCTATTTCCAGTGTAGAAACCCATTTGCCATCTATCTATCTATCTATCATCTATTTATTATTATTTATTTTTTTAATTTTTATTTATTTATGATAGTCACACACAGAGAGAGAGAGAGGGGGGCAGAGACATAAGCAGAGGGAGAAGCAGGCTCCATGCACCGGGAGCCCGACGTGGGATTCGATCCAGGGTCTCGAGGATCGCACCCTGGGCCAAAGGCAGGCGCTAAACCGCTGCGCCACCCAGGGATCCCTATTTATTATTTTTTATAGGCACTCTCACTCTCAGAATCTTCTCACTAGTGTTTAAAATTCATGATGATGTGCCTTGGCATAGGCTATTTTTATTTATTGTTTTATTTATTGTTATGAGTACTGAGAGAAAACTTATAACCTGAAATTTCATGTCCTTCATTTCAGGGAAATTTTCTTGCTTTATTTCTTTGATAATAACCCCACCCCCTGCGCCTTTGGCTAACATTCTAAGAGGGTTTTTTTCTTTTTTTCAAATTTACCTTGTTTTTAAATCCTCTTGACCAAGTTTTTAATTTTAAGAGCTTTTTTGTTTTTATTCTGTGAATGTTACTTTTTACATCGTCCTCTTTTTTTTATTTAATGGATACATCTTCTCGTTGTTCTCTGAAATGGTTAATATAGGTTTCATTTTTCACTAGGGGAAATATCCCTTAGGGGATATTTCTCCTAGGAAATGTGTAAAGAAAGCAGAGTAAGTTAAAATTTGTTTTGTTCTTCTCACATGAGAGGCTATCCTCGCACCTCTAGATCCCCTTGACTGCTTATTTATATTTAAGAGGAAGGTAATAAACTGCTCTTTGGAATATGGGAATGGCAGAGTTGTCCATCAGTGGGCCTGAATATAAAGTGATTAGATGGAAAGCAACCTCCCCATTTTATTAGAGGGACCCTAAACTATGAGTAGATATAAGATTTTTCCCCTGTCTTTTCATTTGCCCTAAGAGTCCTCCAATCTCCTGTATGGGTCAGTGGGATGGGGATTGAGGTAGAGTGTAAGCCAATGAGTAGGGAAGGAGGCTGAGAGTTTTGCCATTCATTACTGTAATCCACTAATCTTTTCTAGATCCCAAGAGGGATAGTCATCTAACTGCATAGGATATAGAAAGAAATCCTGAGTCTAAGTACTCCTCTTAAAGGCTTGCAATCACTCCAATTTTTTTTTAAAGATTTTATTTATTTATTCATGATAGACACACAGAGACACACAGGCAGAGGGAGAAGCAGGCTCCATGCAGGGAGGTCTCC